TTCATTTTTTTTCTCAGAAAAGTTAAAAAGCTAAAAAATTTATCCCAAACAAAAGTTGTTAGCCACAGACTAAAATAACCAAAATACTAAAAAGTTAACCCACATTTCAAACCAACTCTAAAGACTCGTTTGGCAACATCACTTTTTAGCCTAAAAATAAAAAAGTCACTAAAAAATCAAAAAACTAACTGCCTATATTAAAAAGTTAAATATTTATTTTTCTCTCTACTTCTTGCACATTTTTTTGTAAAAAATCAAAAAGTCATCATAAATATATTATTTTTTTTGTATAATATTTTAACCAAAAAAACTAAAAAATTACTAAAAAACCTATTCTTAAACGAGATTTAAGGGTTAATTCTTCACAAATCCTTTTCCAACAGATCCCTTATCCAACTCTCTAAATATAAGTATTGTTACAGTGATTCTCTATTTGTAGAGTCACTATAACTCTCTTATATCTGATAAATTTTTATTTTATTAGCGAAGGAAAAACATAGCAACAAAAGAACAAGGGGCCGGATGTCCGGATGGACTAGCCGCCAGACATTCGGAGGGACGACCACCACCGACGATTTGACAAGTTTCCAGTTTGTTTATGTTACCTGAGGAAGAACATATCAAAGTCCAAATCTAAGGAACATTTGGAGAAAAGAGGGGTATGGATATATATATTAGGGAGGGATTTGTTGTAAGAGGGTCTCTGTGTACTTGAAAATTTGGTATGATCCCATCACCATGTCTCTCTCTCTTCCTCTGGTTGTCTCTCGGCCAATAATATTCTGTTTCAGAAAACATATTTTCAGCTTTAGCTTTAAGCATAATAATTATTTTATTATTAAAAAAATTATTTTAATAAAATAGAGAAAAAATAAGAAATTTAGTAAGGAAAGTAGATAAAAAAATTATTCTTAATAAAAGAAATGAATTTTTTAAAATAGAATTTAGGATGTTCGAAGTCTCCATTCCCATGCTTGAAGTACATAGTTCTACTCATATTGGGGAGGGAGCGAGAGTGTGATGTGAGAGGACTTGGTCCCAAAGTCACATGCAAAGCTTTGGTGCTTGTTGGCGGCACGAACCCCCACCATTGTTTTAATTTTGTCGACTCTCGTCTTTTCATTAATTCGGTCCGCTCCTCCGGGTATCACGTAGATTTGCTAATGTCGAAACGTGTAACTCTCTCTTTTCTCGCATACAAGACATTCGAGTCATCAATCTAATTTTTAAAACTTCAAAACAATAGTGCCAAGTTTTACTATTTTGAAAATAAAAAATAATAATTTTAAAAAATTACATCACTCTTACATATATGTTTAACTATTTACTTATTTATTCACGTCGCCCATCTATTCACGTCTCCAGTATAAAAAATATTTTATATTAATATATTTCTTTTTATTGTTTTTGATATCATTTTTTGAATAAACTATTGAAATGTTAATTTTGCTTAAGGTTTCAAGGCTTTTTAGTACTAGATTGTGTTTGATAGTGAAAAATACATGAATAGCATTGCTCAAAGTAATTAAAAAAGACAAGATGAAATGATATCCAATCCGCGCAACTATTATTTGCAAGACTTGCTTCCAATGGATACATATTAATATGTATATACTTCAATAATTGACACTCTTATGAAATGAAATCCATTCATGCTAAATTTTCTTTATACAATAAAATAATAAGAAATAATAAGACTGTTTGATGCAGATGTAATTTTATGGAACTGCATATAATTCTTTTATTAAAAATTAGCGTAATTTTTATTTACAATTTATAAGACAGACAAAAAAATATTTTTTTATTTTTTTAATATAAACTTTCAGCTCATATTAGTTTATTACTCATAAAAGGAGGGTCAATGAAGGGTTATGGAAAGTCCAATTATTCTCTTTTCTTATATATTTTAGTAATCTTAATTCTTAGGCCTGTCGGTGGATTCTTTATTTTCTCACATGATCCCCCCTCTCTCACAATAATGGTCATGGAGCAAATATAAAATACACAGAAAACAGAATCTGCATATATATTTTATTTTTGAGGTCTTTTGGCACTGCAAGGGTCATCTAGTGTCACCACTCATCACTCATGTTTAGTCAATTTTCTACAAACCAGTGACATCACCACATAAAGCATCTTTTAAATTTATGTATTTTTCACAGAGAGAGAAAGAGAGAGAGAGAGGGAGAAGATCATAATTTCCTCTCCATCATCATGACAATGCTGGGTATATCAGTATGCTTGTGTTTGTTTGGCGACTGAATCATGAGAATGGGGAATAAGTGATATATTAAGATTTTATAAATAAATTCAACAAAATACACAATTATATATTTATTAAGAAAACTAGAATTCAAATTAATAATTTACTCGGATATGGTATGTTCAATGTAAGAGATTATTGAATCTCAATACGAGAGAATGGGAGACTAAGAAGAGGTTCTACTTAATTTTTTAAATTATAAATTTGATAGAATTTTGTCATTCTTCTTCATAATTTTGGAACAATTCAAATATGAGATATGGTATACGATTCAAAAGAATTGATAATTTAATTCTAAGAATGCTAATCTTATTTAATCTGGTCCTTCCAAACAAACATGATCTATATATTGTGTGAGATTATTTAGTTAGAGTGAGTTAAAGCATGAAACAAAATTTGAAAGATAATTATTTTTTTATTATTGAATAGTGTTAGGGAAGATAATTCAAAGGGAGGGGCTAATTATTCAAGAGATAGGACTCAATAATTTTCATATGAAGGCTTAACCATCGCTATATATTTAGCCAAACAAATGTTAAGGCTCGAGAAATTATCGATGAAATTTTATTATGTGAATCTCACTTGCATATCTCCTAGTCTAGTTCTCTCTGATCTGCAAGTAGGAAGTTATTTGATGGTTTTACAGTAATATTTCACGCTACACATTCTGTGACCTCTTAAAAAATAAAATAAAATCATTATTTAAATTAATATAAATTAAATTAAAACAATAGCACCGAATAATTTTTCCTAAAGCAATGTGCATGGCCTAATATTTCTCTTTCAAGTTTGAATGGCCTTTCTTTTGGGACAATTATGTTTCTATCCTTTTCTCTTTCTCTTTCTCTCTTTCTCATTGTCATCCATTTGAGAAGTAGGGCCAGATGTTGATCCTCATTGTCATCCATTTGAGAAGTAGGGACAGATTTTGATCCTCCATTCCTCAGTTGCTGTCTTTGTGGATTGATATCAAAGCACAGATCCTCTGGTTGTGCTCTCATTGGGCACCCATTGCAGTTGTGTAATTCAAAGGGAAAAAAAGCTATATTCATCAAAGCTAGCTAGCTATCCAATTAGGTGATTAATGATATTTTATTTTATTTTATTTTATTTTTGATCGGCTGTGATTAATGATAATAATTACATTGTGATGGTCATTTTGGCAATTCACTAGAAATTGTTTTTCTTTTCTTTTTTTTGGTGGGAAATTATAAAAAATCTCAAGGTTTGATCTTTTTAACAAAATAATTTTTGACTTTTTAATTTTATCAATTTAAATTTCAATATTTTGATTTGTTTTTAATCTAAACCATTTGTCTATTTTTACTAAGTAAAATCAATAGAAAATTTGTATTTTAGTCATTAAACTCAATTTAAAAAGGTATTTTAGGCAGTTTATTTACATCTACATTGAATTTAATAGTTAAAATATTCTTTTTCCATCAATTTTACTTAACAGAAATAGAGAAATAGTTTAGATTGAAAACAAATTAAAATCTAAATTTTAAATTGACAAAATTAAAACTCATGATTTATTTTGTTATAAGAGTCAAACTCTAATTTTTTTTTTTGTTGTAATTATCCTTTTTTTATATATATTTTTTATTTTCATTTATTGAAAAATATGTTCCTACTAAACATATTATTAGTATTTGTTTTTCCAAAATAAACAAAATTATTTTGACTGCATGGGAAAAAACAGTTCATGGAAATATTATTTAAATGGTTTGGAAGCTATCACAGGACTCCTCAATTGCAAAATAATAGGTGTAGGATATTGGCAAACATTTAGCCCATGTCAAACAATGGTACTGTTTTGGAGTATCCAATGATCAATGTTTATATTTTTTTTTAAAAATAAACAAGATTTGCCAGGACCAAAAGTGAAACAATAGTATAAGCATTTCGTTTGGGCTAGGCCAATTTGGCCCAATCCTAATTGTTGAGTTTCTTGTGAAATTAGGCTGACAATGAACTGCAGGGAGAATTTGGGCCACTTCAACTTCGCCCAGGGAATTACATTCATTTCTATAAGATCATGGATTGCACTATTTCTGGCCCATATCAACATTGAAAGCCCATGTTTGTTTGAAGGACTAGAAAATAAATTGGATCATGGATTGCACTGTTTAGTTTTTTATTTTATTTTAATTTTAATAAATACTTTTACCCCATAAATTGAATCAATTTAATCTTCAATATATAAAAAATTATTTTAATTTGATCCCAACCTAACGTCATTTGTTAATGCAATTAAAGTTATAAGTAAAAGTGTAAATTCAATTAAAAAAAACTACTCTTTTGTCTCCATAGTATGATATATATGTGTGTGTTTGTCATTTTGATCGCTACTATCGTAGTCCTCAATATATAAAAAAAATATTTTAATTTGATCTCTCAATTTAATTTTATCTACATTTCTATTGGAACCAAGAGTAAAATTTGAAAATCATAAATACACATCATAAAAGAAAAAATGAAAACATATAAAAAGAAGAACCAACATAGGAAATTCATTTTTTTTAATATATCCAAAGGTTGAAAGTTGACCATATATATATAGAGGATAATGATATGGTACATACTAGTTATGACCCACAAATTTGAAATCTTTGATTATAATCAAAATAATGTAATAATCAATATTACATTGAACCGCAATTAATATCATAACATATATAATCAAGTTATAACTAACCTCCTAATAAATTAAAACAAAAAACCACAAATATCGTGATTAAAGGACATAAAATTTCTCCCATACATATATATATATGCGTTTACAATCTTATTACAAAATCAAGTAGCGCTAAACACATTCTCTCCCAAAGCTCAACCAGAGAGACAAAACCAAAAATTACAAACAAACCCCACACAAAGCCATAATAACAATACTAGGGTAGTACATAAATTACACATACATGCCCATTCTACTCCTTTCTACTTTGCTTCTCCTTGAGTATTCTCAACACAGGATGATGCTTCTTCTCCTTGAGTATTCTCAACACAGGATGATGCTTCTTTTCCTTCATTTCCAGCATTACTTTCCTCCTTCAGAAAAGGCAATTTGCTCACTGACATCGCCACCGACGAATCGATCTTAGGCTCCTCAGTCTTGTACTTGTACCATGAAGACCAATACAGATAGTTAACAAAGTTAAGACAACTCAGAATAGCCAAAAACCAGTAAAACAAGTCCAAGTTGTTGTGATCCAAGTCTTGCCCATGTAACCACCCTTGCTTGCTCTTAGTAACTCTCTTAGTCACAGAGTTAATAATATCAATAAACACAGTGCTCAAAAAGTAGCCCAAAGAGAGTGAAATCCAAGTAAAAGAAGTGGAGAGTGATCTCATGTAAACAGGTGCTTCCTTGTAGAAAAACTCCAACAACCCAACTAATGTGAACATGTCAGCAATCCCAAAAATGCCATATTGGAAAGAGAGCCAAAACAGACTTATGGGTTTTAATGGGTTTTTGAGAGAGTGTTGTTTCCTTCTGACTTCCACTAAGGCGGCAACAGCCATGGAGACGGCGGAGAGGACGAGGCCGACCCCGACACGCTGCAGCTGGGTGATGCCGGAGGGGTGGCCCGTGAGCTTACGGGCGGCGGGGACGAAGACGAATTCGTAGATGGGGAGGAGGATGGACATGAAGACAAGGGGGATGACTGGGACGGATGGGGCTGGGACTTCGAATTTGTTGAGTAAACGGTTCATTCTGTAGCCTTGTTGGACCGAGAAGGTTTGGAGTTGGGCTAAGCAGGTGTTCATGATGATTGTGCTGGCTATGATTGGCATCATTCTGGTTAGGATTTTGACTTCTTCTACTTGAGTTACTGTGCAGACTGTCCATGGAGATGGTTTCGTGTCAGCTCCCAGGATTGCTGCTTTGTCCAGGCAGCTGAACTCAACAAAATCAGAATTATGTTTGGTACTTGAGAGAATGAAAAGAAAACAAATAATTATATATTTTGTTTGGATTAATATTCTCTTTATCATATTTTGTTTAAATTAAGAGTGGAGAAATTTTGGGTTTGGCTGGGTTTAGGCCTCACTTTTACTATATAGTAAAAATATGTGTTATTTTAAATTTGATCTGGTCTAGCATTAAACTTAATCTAGTCATTTTAAATTCAGTTAAAAAAAAAATTGATTCCAAACCCCGCCCACTTAATCTAATAGAATATGTTATTGATTTTTTATTTAATATTTTTTTTTATATTAAAAAGATATTAAATTATTTGGTTCATTTTAATTATTATGTGAATTTGGTACATTAACAAAATTCCCTGATAAAATTATATGATCATTTAACAAATATTTTAATAGAAGTTTTAAATGAAGTTATATATACTGTCTTTTATAAATTGATGGGTCAGGTTGGATTAGGTTAGAACTCTTTATTCCAAGTTAACTTAGATATTAAATGGACACAGAATTTCAATCCAATTAAGTCTAGTCCTATGGGCTAAATAATTTTTTCCAACTCTAAAAATATCGGGTTAGGTTGGCTGGGTGGGTTGAACGAACTAGTGGCCCATGATTACCCCTAATTTTAAAATACATCAATAGTTTATTTTATCTCATTTTTACTTATTCAAACAAATAATATGAATCAACAAAAATGTATTTTTTTTTTTCTTTCCAAATTATTCAATTCAAAGTAAATCACCTAAATTGCGTGGTGTGTGGAATTTTTTCGTTCTGAGAAACGAAGTCCTTTTCAGTGATCTCGTACAGTTCAGTGGGGCTCTCTGGAAGTGACATCTTGCGGTTTTTAAATGACACAATTATTACCTGTCAAAACCCATCCAAAGATAACACATATTAAATACATTAGCCATTATTCCTATAATATGAAAAATAAAAATTTTAAATATTATAAACATGAGAGAGGAAAAAAATAAATGAGTGCTTATAAATAGAGCGGATTTTATGTTTCAAAATTTTCCCTTTGTTTTTATACATTTCCTATCACATAATCATGTATCGAAATTCTCATAATTATGTGATGAATAGATTGATACAAAAGCACAAAAAATTTAGAAATGAGTAATTATATATAAATAAAAAAAATTTAAAAAATTATTGGCTTCCGAAATTTTCATAAAAATTATTGATCAGAATAATGTATCACATTTCTATATCAAATAAGTATCTTGATGGTTTATTTATTGATTTATTTTTAAGCGATGGACTCTTAATTTGTAGTATAATTTTTTTTTATTTTATTTTTAGGAGATGGACACAAAATATACAACCAAATAATTTTATTTTTTATTTTTATTTTATTTATTGAGTTGTAAACCTATCATTTTTAAATAAAAAACCAATCAAGATGCAGTTTATTTATTTATAAATAAATAAAAATTATGCAGCTTTTTTATTTGTATAAAAATCAATCACACAAGTAGACATATGACATGGTCTATGTATTCTTAGATTTTCAAGAATAATTAATTAAAGAAAATTCGCAAAGAAAAGTGTATGCTTGGTTTGGTTTGTATTTTGAGATATTATTTAAAAATAATTTTATGGAGAGAGTTTAGAAAATTTAAAAATTTATTTGGTTGTATATTTTGAAAATAGTTTTAGAGTTTTGGAGTTTGAAATGATTTGATATATTTTTTTTTGTAGTTGAATAAATGGATGTGAGAAAAATAAAAATGATTGAAAAGGAAAGAAGAGAAGAGAGAGAAAAAGTAATTGATTGATAAATAGTAAAAAAAAGTGATTTGAGAATATTTTTTTAAAAAAATTGGACAAGACATAATCCCCCCAAAGGAAAATGAGTGGGAGCACTAATTAGTGCTCCCACTAATGATGTCGCAGTAGGTCCCACCATGAATGATTTGATATTTTGGTCTTGGTGTTGTATTTTTTTTCTTTTTTTATTGAGTGCCATGTCATTAGTGGTCTTTTTAGAACTCCAAAATTAGTGATTTCTATCATTGTTGCCCCCAAACATCCCTTAAAAAAAAGACAAACTAAACATTATTTTTGTTTTTGGGATTGATAGGATCCATAAGAGAGAGGAGAGAGGACCTGAGCAATTCTAATGATGGGGCCATCTCCAGGTTGTTGTAGGCGGTAGAAAGGCTTTCCAAGTGCAAAAACAGAGAATCCAACGGCTGTGGCCATTGTACATATAAAAAAACCCTTCCACCACCCTCTATTTGTGCTGACCCACACGATTATAGTGACCCCCACAGCAGCCCCAACTGTGGTGCTCAGCAACAGATAGTTGAAATAGCTTGCTAGAGCCTTGGCTTCTTTTGGGTCCTTGTGATCGAACTGGTCCGCACCCAGTGGAGCCAGAGCCCCCCTCACCCCACCATTACCCAGTGCCAGTAGGTACAGAGAGGCATAGAACATCACTGCTATTCCACCTTTCACACATGTTGACTTGTTGTTACAGGGGCTTGGTTTTAACTTTGAGTCATGTGCTTGAATTGTCATCATCACCAATGCCTACAAAACAATTAATAGTGCAATGTAATTCTTAGTAATATTCAATCAAATGTGTTTACATAAAATCAATAAAGAATGATGTGATAATGGGCCTCCAGGACATGGTATTAGAAAAATAGTCCCGCGGACTAGAAATTTTTTATTTTTATTTATTTTTTACTTGTTGGACATTTTTTTTTGAACATTAATGTTTAATTTTTTGTATTTTTTGTTAAGTAAAAATCATTAATTTATTTATTTTATTTTTTTCTGAATTTTTTATTTTTTTAAATTTTTTTACGTGTTGGGTATTTTTTTTTAAAACATTAATGTTTAATGTTTTTTGTATTTTTTTTATTTGTTTTATTATTTTATATAAAAATAATTTAACAATCTCTACACTAACAACTATCATCAAAATAAACACAATTTTACTTAATTCTCTCACTATTATTAATCCCTTCATTATCAATCTCCTCTATCCTACCCCTAAAACAAACGGGCCTTAGCTCTTTTAGAATCCAGCCCCAAATGGCAGGCCTAATGATATGTTAATAAAATTTGTAAAATGAAACATGACTCTTGGAAAGTAGACTATTCCTAGAGATTTCACCAATGGACTATAGTGGGGTCACCACCTGTTACTCAAGTGATCTCAATCTTTTCATCTTGTGTGCCTCGTGCGCAGATTATTCATACAAAAATAATAAAATAAAATAAAATAAAAATTTAGATTAATTTAATAATTATAATCACACCATTTTATTATATTTATCTTAAAAATATAATATCTATTTTTAAAATTATATATATGTTCTAATTTTTTTAGAAAAATAAATATAATAAAATCACATGACTACGCAATTATGTAATAAAGAAGATCTCAAAAACATAAATAAAAAAAGAAAAAGAAAAAGAAAAAAAGAGATAAGAAATATTGATGGTATATATAATGATCTTACCAGTACTTCGAGTAATCCAAAAATAAGACAAGTATGAAATCTGTCCAAGTAAGTGTCTGAAATAAAAGCACCAACAATGGAGAGCAAGAAAGTAGCACCCATGAAGTTTGTAAGAGTATTTGCAGAGCCAGCCAGATCGAAGTGCATCTGCTGAGAGAAGTATAGCACCAAGCTCACCATGTTTGCCACAAATGCCATGTTCTCAAATAACACCAACACTGCATATATAGATAGATAATTAATGACAATGTTGACATAAAGCTAATTCAAGTTTTTAAAGTGTTGGATTTTTAGATTCTCTTTTCTCAAACATCTCTATCACTTTGCAATAGATGATGCACCTTTGATTGTTAGATTATAATTTATATCGTAATGTTTTTGTATCTTGATTGAGTAATGATATATATACACAATTTTTATACAAAATTATATGGTATTATTCTAATCTATGTAATTTCAATTTGTTCGATTTTGACTTTAAATTTATGATTTTGTCTCAATTTAATTCAATTAATTACAGTTAGTTTTTTTTTTTCAATGTACACATATTTTTAGGAGTAAAATTATAAACTTGATTAACTCAATGAATTAATCTCAATTAAAGTAGGAATCAAAATGACATAAAGAACAAAATATAAGCATAATTTGCCCTTTATATTTCTTTTATCTCAAACTAAAACACCCAATATTATATAACTTATAATTTTAAAAATGTCACAATTATGTCATTATAAATCGTATTCTATCTCATTATTGATAATGTCACGTGATTTAATAATTAAAAGCATATTGCAAGCGAGACAAATCCCAAGAACATGTTTAGCTCACCAAACAGAAACGAACTAGCTCTGAATCCACCTTTCTCTTTATTGCCATTCCAAGTTTTCAGGGCCTCATAGGCTGGTTTTTTAGTTTCCTCGTCCCCCTGCAAACCCATGACACGAAACATTAAATCTGGAGAGTGAGAGAGAGAGATAGAGAGATGATGATAGTAGCAGCAGACTTACCATGATTCAGTTTGGTTGGTTTGGCTGGAGAGAGTAAATAAATGCTAGTGTGTTTTTAGGTGTGTTTGAGAGAAAAAGCAACGCAGGTGGCCTCAAAATATATAGCTCACAAAAGACATAGTACATAACGATGATGGGTCTTAGATTCATCGCCTTCTTGTCCTCTCTCTCTCTCTCTCTCTCTGCTTCTGTCGTATGATTAAGATATATATGGTTGGCAGAGTTAAAATAGGCCAATTTCTCCATAGTTGTTAATGCATAACAATCTGAGAGATTCTATTAATGGAAATTCTATTATATTCCGGTTACAACATTTTGTGGTATTGATGCCCCTCTAGTTTTAAAATATTAGTCTGTTACTTCATTTTTTATTGTTCTAAAATATTAGTCTATTTTAAAAAATTAAGGATTAAAATACTATGAATATTTTATTTTGCCATTTTCTTTTAAATTCATTAACATTAATGTTTTTTTTATATGTAATAGTTGTTTTACCAAAGAGTGGTTTTGGAAAGAACATGTTTTTAAAGTAATAATTGTACTAAAAAAGAAATGTAGATTCTTAAAAAATGACTAATATTTTGAGACAAAGAGAGTATCATTTTATGTAAATCAAGGTATTGTAATCTGTGTCGCTAATTCTTTGACTACCAAGTCTCTCTTAAAGAGAGATCTTAAATTCTACTCTTAAAAGTGAAATTGAGAGACAAGTCTTTAGTCTTTGAAAGGAGCGAATGTGAGTTCAACTTGGCCAAAGTGCTAATCTAACACCACTAACTTTTGTAGATGAAAATGTAAATCATTTTGTCACAACAGTAGTTAGGAGATAATTAAAAATCTTTTTGGTTGTAACTAATTCCGAGGGATTGACTTGGTGGTCATGACCTGACGTAATGTTCTCTCTATGATCTCAAGTTCTCCGACTTTAACTGGGCCCTTGCTAGTTGATGGTTGGTTCGGTCTATTGGATTATTTGATCTATTAGAATGAATACCAAATTATCAACCAAAAAAAAAAAACTAAATCGTAACTAATAGCATAATAGGTAATTATCAAATATGTCTTTTTTTTTTTTAATTTTTTAATTACAATTACATTGACATTGTTTCAATGTAAATTAATTATAAATTAATAAAAAAATTATAATTGTAATTATTAATTTTTATAATGTATTTCACCTTTTTGTAATTACTTTTTTCTGATCTCACTGTCAGGTTATTTCTCCTTTCATTATTTGTAGGGTAAATTACGCTTACTTTTCATGAGGTTTACCTTAATTACAGATACATTTTCTATGGTTTCAAAAGTTACACAAACCCCCCTTGCTTTTGAAAATAATTGCCAAGTTCCCCTTTCTGTTAAAAGCACGTTACAAAAGTAACCAAAAAGAGTGACATCAGCAACAACAAACATTGAAATGCCCAAAATACCCTTCCCATCCCTTATAAAACAATACACACCATTGTATCCATTTCCCTCTAATTTTTCAGTACATGTAAATTGTCCCTCCAAACAACATGACAATGATGACTATTTTTTTTACACCAAGTTAATATTTTATATATGTACTATATGTTTTGAATTGCCTTGTACCAGGAATGTTGGTTATTTAAAAATTAATTTTGCACCGAAAAAAAGAAAAAAATCATGTGAAAATGATGAGCATTTTTTTAAAAAATTTTAATTTCTTACACCAAATTAATTTTTATTTTTTTCGTAATTTAAAAAAAAAATTGATTATGAAAATTAAACCAAACAAAAAATGTTATGATTCAGTTTCCTGTATAGTGTGTATATATGTTTTGAATCGTTTTGTACTGGAAATGTTGGTTTAGATAGCATAATACTTTGACCTTTAAATAATAAAAAAATAAAAAATCAGAACCAAAAAGAGAAATAAAAATAAGAATTCTAATAGGAAACAAAAAGAGAAATAAAAATAAAAATCTAATATATTTGGTTTCAATTTTTTAGATTGAATTTTCTGAAAATTGAATTTTTCATTTTTAATATTTTTGGTTTTTAATGAATATTTTTTAAATTTAAGCAAATTTTTTTTAAAAATTTTTTAGATGCACCTTAGATGTAAAAGTAAAATATTTATAATTTTTTTTTAAAATCAATAAATACACAAGAATACAAAAATATATTAAATTTTCATATTTTCTTTTTTATTTTGGTATTTCGTGAATTTTTTAAAGATTTTTTTCACAAATATTATACTTTTTCAGTATATTTATGTTAGGTGTATTTAAAAATTAAAAAAATTACTTAAAATATTAAAAAAAATTAGTAAAAATAAAAAAAATATGAATTTTTTTTTAATTTTTTTGAAAAGTGAAACCAAACAAGTTAGGATTTAAAAGTTTAGTTATGCTGATTATATTCTTAAATCCTGTGAGATTTTTTTTTCTTCTTTTTTTCAATATCCTTGCACGGTGGGATATAAAAGTTTAGTTATGCTAACTTTAAATTTAGGGAAAATTTTATTTCAGGAATGGTTTTGAAACATAATTATAAAAAAATGGTAAATTTTATAATATTAATAATTAAAAACATAAACTTTTTTATGAATGTGTAATAATTCCTTAAATTTAATTGTAAACTCACTTGGAGATGAAAACTGATAATTGCCTTAGATAGTAGGTCACTAATTCATTTTTCTGTAGGATTTGGTGGGTTAGATAAGGCAATGTTGAAATAGTTGAGTTAATAGAGAGAGAGAGAGATGGAATGAGAGTATTTAGTCATTTAATGTTATTTTTGACACTGTTCGAAACAAAGTTAACAGAAGGGAGAATCTGGCTATTATTTTTAAAAGTAAGGAAGGTCTATGTAATTTTTGAAACTATATATCTATAATTAAGATAAACTTTAAGAAAGATAAGTGTAATTCACACTTATGTGTATTGTAGAATTTTCCCCAACAACTAAATTAGAATGATGCATATTTTTTTGGGTGAATTACACTAATGGTCCCTGTAGTTTGGGACTTGTGTCATTTTGGTCCCTGATTTTTCAATTGTGACACATTTGACCATGAATTTTAAATCTTATTCCAAATAAGAACAATTGTTAATACTATTGGATTTTTCAAGGGCAAAATCGTCAATTTGATAAAATATAAATTAATTTGATAAAAATAAATGTCAAAAAATTATTGTTAAATTTTTAAAAATTATTTCTAGCTACTAAAGATAAAATCATATAAAATTGATAAATCTTTTAGACATTAATTTATTTTTTTTATCAAATTAATTTTTATTATGTATTTAGATGATAATCATGTAAAATTAATTTTTAAAAATTAATCATGTAATTTTTATTAACTTTTTTCAATTTTACATAATTTTATTTTTGGTGGGTAGAAATAATTTTAAAATATTTTTTGACATTTATTTTTGGCAAATTAGTTTATATTTTATCAAATTGACGATTTTGCCTTTGAAATTAAGCAATGGTATGTTCAATTGTCCTTATTTGGAACAAGATTCAAAATTCAGGATCAAATGTGTCACAAGTAAAAAATTAGGGACTAAACTGACATAAGCCCCAAACCATAAGGACTAATAGTGTAATTTGCCCTATTTTTTTTTTTTTGACAAAAATAATGCGGTAATGACAATTTCAAAAAAGAATAAATCAAAATATACAAATGAGTTTTATAAAATGGGACATACATATAAGACAAAAAAAGGAAAATGAGTGGGAGCACTAATTAGTGCTACCACTAATGATGTGGCAGTAGGCCCCACCATGAATGATTTGATGTTTTGGCCTTGGTGTTGTATTTTTTTTCTTTTTTTATTGAGTGTCATGTCATTAGAGGTCTTTTTAGAGTTTCAAAATTAGTGGTCTCTATCATTGTTGACAAAAAAATGAGTCTCCGATCCACCATGTTTAGGAGTGACTGAGGGTTGCTGCTGTGTCTTATGGCACAACAGCCGTGCTGTGAGGTTTTGTACAGATATTTTTTTGATTATATTTTGATAATTTGAACCGTACATATTATAAGATTTATCGAATATATTATTTTTATAAAAATTAAGTTAATCGGACATCTGCTATCCCATGATCAAGTCTTAATTGTTTTAAAAAATTTATTAAAATCATATTAACTGTTTATTTTTTGAAAAACAAATGTACTCTTATTATGAGATTACAAATGTTCAATTCACTTGATTTTTTTCATAAATGATCTATTCGACGAACCTTACAATATAAAAGATTCAGATTATCGAAAAAGACTCAGGACACGTCTCCATTAAGCTTCAAAACAACTTAAAGCACCGCAAGAACCCAACTCCGTTTAGGAGCGAACATTTGTCTACCATTTGTATCCTAATATATGTGAAACTGTTCAGCATCTCCAACGGTAATAGGCATTTTACCTATCTAAATATTACTATAAAGTATATAGTTTATTTTGCCTATCAATTATTTCATATTTCTACTCCAACCATGCTCTTTATTTTAGCTATTCATCTAAATACTATTAATTTTATAAAATGCCACATCAGCAACAAAGATGGAGGGAAATGATCCTAATGATTAAATATATTTTGCCTAGTCTTGAAGGCTAGCTACATGTAGCTAGTGAATGTGAGTTGAGCTAAAATGCCTAATCGTATGCCTAGTGCATTGGAGTTGAAAAAAATAAGTTATACTAGGCATTTTGACTAACAAGCATGATATGCCTAGTGGGTTGGAGATGCTCTAAGAGCATCTCCAACGGTAGTAGGTATTTTACCTATCTAAATATTACTATAAAGTATATATTTTATTTTGCCTATCAACTGTTTTATGTTTTTACTCCAACCATGCTCTTTATTTTAACTATTAATCCAAATACTATTAATTTTATAGAATGCCACGTCAACAACAAAGATGGAGGGAAATGATCCTAATGATTGAATACATTTTGCCTAGCGTTGAAGGCTAGCTACATGTAGCTAGTGAATATGAGTTGAGCCAAAATGCCTAATCATATGCCTAGTGCGTTGGAATTGAAAAAAGTGAATCACACTAGGCATTTTAACTAACAAGTATGATATGCCTAGTGCATTGGAGATGCTCACCATATTACACAACTATTTAAACATAGAAGTCATTTTATTTCAAAGGATAATTATCAAAATTCTGATCTGGATGGTATATTATTCTAGTTGGGCTAA